GTGTGTGTGTGTGTTTGTGTAGCCATGAGAAAAAACAATATCAATATATGATGTAAATGACATACAAAATGCCGAAATGTTTAAAAAATAAGTGCCTCAATGGACTTTATGAGGTTTTCAAACCAGCCATGAAACCTACAGAATCATACCTACACCACCATAGTGACAGGCAGATCAACAGAGTGCTGATATTTTGTTTTTTTGGGGGGGGATTCAGCATGTGGCTCACCCAGAGTAGTGATGTATGGATGCAGCCAAGGCGTTGCCTGATCCACCAGGGAGGATACCCAGCGGTGTCCGGATGGCCTCCTCCCAGTCTGGTCTCTCCAGCAGACCATTTATCACCTGACAGACACAGAAAATACAGCTTCACTCAGGTGGACAGACAGAAATACATATTGAATATTCAGTGTTTTAAAGAACTAAATGAAGAAATTGACTCTTTGGTAAAGTAAGGTAGCCAGATTCTCTTTTTTAGAATAACCAGTAATACTATATTAACAAAAGGCTAGTTAATAAATATAAACTATATTTACCCATTATAATTATATTTAAGGCTGCAGCTGACACTTATTTTAACACTTAATTTCAATATGCCCACAGTTAGAGCTTGTTATGTGCGAAACTCAAAGATAATCAGTTTACAATTATATTAATTTAGAGAAAAGCAGCTTGAACCAGAGACATGTTGAGTTATTAATCAATTATCCCATTCATAAACAAGCAATGCAACACTGAAAAAGCCACTGAAACAGAAACCTGGAGAGAAGTTAATCAGTTGTCTTCCTAAATAATACGTATACAGTTATCCAGATACAGTACATACTGTTAGTATAGGATAGTTGAGAATTTTAGATGGAACAGCAGCTACAAAGATTGAATTTGGACATAAGCTAACGTTAGTGATGAGACACATTTAAATTATATTTTAATTTGTGATGATGTTCATCTGGATACACAAACAGGAAACAGACATTTTGGTTTATAGTGATGACAGAAATGTGTGACGTTGTGACTTTTAGAGTCATTTCTTTTTTAAAAAACCTTTCAGAGATTCCTGGGTGTACCACTATTGTACAGAGTGGAGCCTGGATATGAATATAGTGAAAGTGTGTGTGCGTCTCTCCTTACCTCAAATAGAAGTCCGTCTCCAGACATGATGACTAAAGCATCCCACTGTGACAGGTCAGCCTCCCTCACCAGCTCTCGGGCGTGGTTCTGCCGCTCTGCAAAAACCCACACACGCACAGATGTAAAGAGTGACTTCATGCAGGTGTGTCTTTCCTGTATAAGAAATCTAGAAATGTGGGTACTCTGACTGTTACAGTAAAAGAGAAATCTATCCTGTCAGTTTCCTCCGTCCATGCAGAGGTCAGAGGTCACGGTCAGCTCTAATGGAGGTGTGACAGATATTCGGTGTCTGGCTCAAGCACATTTCCACAGGTGTTTGCTATCAGCAGCTCAAGTTACACATGACACAAATACCTCTGTTGTTTAAATAATGGAAAAAAGAGGACATTGAGATCTCAGGTAATAGAAGTTCTCCTTGTAATCTTCTTTCCTTTTGCCCCTCAGTTGCCAAATTGAAGTATCACCGCGGGAGGGAAAGCTGATATATGGTCTTAAATGAAGCGTCTACCGCAGTGTCGATTAGATTGGAACAACTAAATTACCCAGGAGCGCACTCTGTCAAATTAATCTGGGGCTGAATAATCTGATGAAGTGGGGCCTTGGTGACAGGGCCAGCTTTCTCTTAAGGTGGAGAGAGCAACTTTTTGATTCACTGCAGACTGTATCACAGTCAGTGTGCAAGGACTATAAAACAGGGCTGATACAAAATATATGGAGAAAAAGAAGATTATAAAAAATACAGAAAATTAAATATGAAAAAGTTATGAACTACTTATCAACATTTCCTCAATATTATAATCTGGGTGTTGTTGCTTTAGAGCTCAAGCAGACACCACCTGACTCTTAATGCTTTATTTTACGAGTCAGCAATTTCCTAGAAGTTTCCTGGAGATAACTTTCTAATTTGGTACTAATTATAGAAAAAATAGAGTCTTTAATGACTACACTTTCAATTAACCAATTCCAATTAACTGCTTACGTAGCCTAGAGGAGTCTTCTACTCAGCGGACAGCAGGTCAGCTGAACATGTCTGCAGTGAAGCATACAATTCAACATATGTGAAGTAAAAAGTATCCAATAATAAAGGAATAATGAATCAATATTTAGTTGGGTTTAAACCGAAACTAATATCCCGTTAATCGTATTCTTTCCAAAGAACCTTCTTAGGAAATGATTCTATTATTACAGACCTATAAAATAAAGTATTATCTAATGTAATGTAGTATACAGGAAGATCTTTATTGTTTTATAGGAAACACTAAAATGACCACTGTGTGTGGAGTGATAACTAGTATAATTTTGAGTAAGGGTGTGACATTACAATATTTCTATGAACTCTCATTAAGGCTGTCTGAGGGATCCACACTTTGTTTTTCTATCTAATTTTGGAGGTGGTGAGTTTCAGCAGGAGCTATTAGATTTTTTTTTAGAGAGTTTATAATGATCTGATACCTGCTAAGCTGGAGTTTCTACAGACTACAGAGCAAACAACTTCAGCTGTATGTGAAGTTCAGCTGTTCGTATGAAGATGTGATCCTGTCTATATGTTCTCTCTCACTAATACCAAGTAAGGTTTCTGTTTGATTGTACAATGTTGAGTCAAGTGGGACTTTTTTTTGCTCTCCTTACTCACTAAGTTTTCTGTTCTGTAATTTATCTGGACACTTTGAGCACAACATACTTTAGATCAGCTGTATTTGAACTGGTTTGTAACATATTTATCTAACTACCATAACCACTATCATCCCTTTGACCTTCTGACCCTAACTCTCAGAGTGTAGACCTGTAACTTACTTTTAACATCATTTTTTGGGATCCGAGACATTATCATCATCTTAACTCGACAGTTTCACATCTGTTTTCTCTGGAATCAGGTTTTTTTGAATAGTGGGTTTTGTGTGTGTATCTGTCTGTCTGTTTCTCCCTTTCAGTCTCCCTGTCCTCTGTCTGAGGGTGAGAGGGCAGAAGGAGTGCTTTGAGGTGTGAAGTGAAGTCAGTCAAGTGCAGCAGACTTTCACCTGCTGAGGCTCATCAACACTGGAACCTTTTTCCTTACAGACATAAACACCTACAGAGATGCACACAGTCTGTATGAGATTGAGAAAAATGGATCATAAAATATCTCAGCAGAAACAACTTAGTAAATACTCCTCTAGCTGTAAGAGCAGAAAACAGCCAACAGAGCTGTTTTCATTCAGTATGTATGAATATTATTTTTGTCCAATGGTAACCTGGTGCTCAACTCAGTTGACTAGTTGACTAGATATTTCTGCTGTTGGTATTTTTGACTAGTCTGAGGTAGAACAGGTTTTCAGAAATGGATTTTGTTAAAGTTTGAGCAACAACAGCCGAATTATCACAACACAGTGAGATCACATGGCTGTTCTGTTCTTGACAACATACAGAGAGTTATCCTGTTTATTCCTGAAAAGGAAGCAGGGTCCAAAATGTACACCCGCCAAGTGCCACATTTTGGGTCTGATGGAAAAACAAATTACAGAACAAGCGGCTCCTCTTACACTGAGTACACCATGTTGAACCACCTTAGTTTCTCCTTCACTCATGGGTGAGTCAAGGGGGTTGTAATCAGTAACTACACCGCTAGATGCCCATAAATCCACCACCAATCCTTTTAAAGACCCACAGTTATTTCCCATAGACTCTTCAGTTGCCCTATTTTTCCGTCCGTTTTGTGCAGCATACCTTGTTCGTCCCTTTAATGCTGCCATTGTGTTAATGCAACCCAATAGAAGAACAGCACAGCTACCCACCCAAACACACACACACAACACACACACCACACACACACACACACACCACTCCTCTGGGGAGGGTCTCGATTCTGGCTCTCTTCTTCCCTTCCCTTTCCTAAACTCTGTAGCATAAAGGAATCAATTCCTCCTTATCAGTCCGGTCACATCACATTTCCTTATCTATGCAGAGGCCGTAAACTAAAAAGGATTGAAAGGCCCCAATCAGCAACAAAGCTGTGGAGCAGGGACACTGCAGTGTGGTGGGAGGAGGGCTGAGAGCAGTTTTA